AGATGAATCTTGGCTGAAAGCAGAGCATACCAGGAAGATGTTTACTTGTGCTTTATTGACTGTGCAAATGCATTCAACTGTGTGGATCACAACAAACTATGGATAACAATTCAAAGGATGGGAATTCCAGAACACTGAATTGTGCTCATGAGGAACCTGTGCATAGACCAAGAGGCAGCTCTCAGAACAATAGGGGGATGCTGAGTGGAAACGTATGCGGCAGGATTGTATCTTTTCACCATACTTATTCAATCTGTATGCTTAGCAAACTGTATGAAGAATGTGTCATCAGCATTGGAGAAAGGCTCGTTAAGACAACCTTGCTTGCTGGAAGCGAAGAGGACTTGAAATGCTTATTGATGAAAGTCAAAGACCACAGCCTTCAGTCTGGATTGCTCCTCACTGTAAAGCAAACGAAAATCCTCACAGCTGCACCAATAAATAACAATATGATATATGGAGAAAACATTGAAATAGTCAAAGATTTTATTTTACTTGGATCCACAATCAACACTCATGAAAGCAGCAGTCAAGAAACCAAAGCACGTGCGCCTGTGAGAGTTGGACAATGAATAAGGAAGATTAAAGAATTGATACATTTGAATCATGGTGTTGGCAAAGGATGTTGAAAGTACCATGGACTGCCAGGAAACAGAATCTCTCTTGGCAGAAGAACAGCTGGAGTTCTCCTTAGAAGTGAGAATGACAGGACATCACACCTCTTGTGCTTTGGATGTGTTGTCAGGAGGGATCTTCTCCTGGAGAAGGAAGCCATGCTTGGTAAAGTGGAGGGTCGCCGGGAAAGAGGAAGACCCTCAACAAGATGATTGACACAGTGGCAGTAACAGTAGGCTCAAACATAACAGTTGTGAGAATGTAGCAGGATTGGGCATTGTTTCGTTGTGTTGTGCATAGGGTCGCTGTGAGTCAGAACCGACGTGAAGGCAACAACACTGCCTTATTTTAGAATTTACTTCGTGAAGTGTAGTTGTTTCTGGTTTTATATTTTATTTTTTGTTGTTTATAGTGTTCACAGCAGAATACAGACCGATTCAACACTTCCTACGTATATAATCCAGAGACATGGGTGACACTCAGCAAAATGAACGATGGCTCTTACCCTCCTCATCTGGGTTGCTCCTTTTCTACTGACATCAACTCACTGCCTGTTTTCTTTGTAATCTTTCGAGTTGCTGTTGTCCATTTTGATCCCATATAGTAGGTTTTATTTTTAACTTTTTATTGTAAATTAAGGTTTACAAAGAAGATCATCAGCCTTACCGTCAACAAATTGTATGTTTTGCTTCATGACAGTGATCGCAGTCCCTTCCGTGTATCCGCAGTTCACAGCATTGACCTATGTTCACTTTGACAGTGCCCTCTCCCTGTGTCTCCTGCTTCTGCCAACCTCCCTCTTGTATGGTGTCTGCCCTGTCACCCGTGCTAACGTGTGTTTACCCTCTAGTTCATCAATGATGTTCTCTTTTTACATCAGTCTCACACGATATTGGCCCTTTAGGGATTCCCTCGTTTCACTCAGCATTATGCCCTCCGTGGTCTTGCATGTTGTGAGGTAGTTCAGATTCAGCATTGCGTGTATTATGTACCAAACTTGGCTTAACCATTCTTTTGTTGATGAGTGTTTTAGCTATCTCCATCTTTTTTATATCTCTTGTAGTAGATGGTGATGGTCCATGGAGTCGGTTCCGACTCGTAGTGAACCCTGTACAAGGTTTCTGAGGCTGTAAATCTTTACGGGAGCAGAAAGCCTCATCTTTTCCCCTTGGAACAGCTGGTAGTTTCGAACTGCTGACCTTATGGTTCGCAGCCCGATTCGTAACCATTACGCTACCAGAGCTCCTTTCTTGCAGATAGTTTATATATTTATTTTCAGCTGTTTGTTGTGAGTTGAGTGAAGGTTTACAGATAAGATCACCAGCTTTACATTCAATATATCATACACTTGTAATTATTCATCTCAATGATTACAGTCCCCTGTTTACAACAACACATATCCCTCTTCTTTCCTGTGGTTCGTATTTGCTTGCCCCACCCACCTTCTTCTATCCCTTCTCAACTTTGTCCTTAGGAAAATGGTGCCCTTTTGATTTTGAGTGATTGACCATTCCTTGGTGGGCACACCTTACTAGTGGTGTTGTCCCTGCAATACCTGTCTACTGCTTGGCTGAAAATTAGGCCACGAATGTAAGTTCTGTGACAGACCTGAAGAGTGGTAGAGGGCCACAGTGTGTGGCTCCTCCCATCTCTTTCTGACCAGTAAACCAGATCTTGTTTTTCAATTTTGAGTTTTATTCCACATTTCCTCCCACTCTATCCCGGACCCTGTCATGTGATCCTTTCAGGGCAATTGATAGTGGGTGTGGGGTGCCTTCTAGTTCTTCTGGTCTCCGAGTCACGGAGGCTGCTGTTCGCGCTTCCATTAGCCCACTGGACTAGTTGATTCCAAGGCTCTTCAATCCTCAGCCCATATTGTGGTTGTGAAGTGCTGTCGAATCAGTTCTGACTCACAGTGACCCTGCACAGGGTTTCCGAGGCTGTAAATCTTTACAGGAGCAGAAAGCCTCATCTTTCTCCCACAGCGCAGCTTGTAGTTTCGAACTGCTGACCTTGAGGTTCGCAGCCCAATTTGTAACCACTACGCTACCAGAGTGCCTTAAAGTAAGTAGATTTTTAAAGCACACAGTGCTCGAAGCAGACATTGTACACTAGTTGAGCCAAAGTATTGTTTGGTTTTGAGGTGACATCAGAGGATATTTTAGGTTTAAGATGAAAAGTTTATCACAGAACAGTAGTTTCAGGGATACATTCAGCTTCTTTGGCTCCAGAAAATCTGAATTCCTTGAGAATTTGACATTTTGTTTTGCTTTGCTTTCTTTACTTTTTTTTTTGCTATTATTGCCAATTAGGTGGAGGTTTACAGAGCAGGTCAGTTTTCCATGCAACAGTTCATACACATTTTGTCTGATCTCGTGGATTGTAGCCCCCACAGATTGGCATGGCTTACCCCCCTTCCTCACTGTCTTCCGTTCCCATGCCTCTTTCTTTCCTAACCCTTCTGAACTTTGTCCTTGGGTAAATGCTGCCCTTTTGATCTCTGTTGTTGTTGTTTGATCTCTAAGGGGGGATTATTCTAACGTTTGTGTACCTCCCTGGTGTTACTGTTCCCCTTACAGACCCGTCTGCTGTGTTCTCTGACTAAAATGCTCAGTAGTATTAGCCTGGTACCTTCTGTTCTTTTGGTCTCAGGGTGACAAACGAGGCTGCTTTCTCATAGAGCCAGGGACCCGTTCAGTTCCTCCGCGTGTTAAGGAATCTCATTCTCTCTCTGGTGCTCAGGTCTGGGCCTGTAGATAATCAATTGTCAGTCCTTGAATGACCACTTGCAAGTGTATCAGACCCCAAACACTATACAGGGAACTTGGGGATGGAGAAATACTAACCACATTTTTAGGCCAATCAGAGTATACTTTTATTTTACAATGTAGCCCACTACAGACATGTTGTTGTTGTTGTTGTTGTTGTTGTTGTTGTTGTTGTTGTTGTTGTTAAGTGCTGTCGAGTTGGTTCCTATCCATAGCGACTCTGTGTAGCATTTCCAAGGAGCGACTGGTGAGCTTGAACCACAGACTTTGCAGTCTAGCACATTAGCCCACAGCACAGTACACATACTGAAGATATTTTTAACACTGACTTGAAGATTTTGTTATAGGGCTTTATCTAGACAATTAAGACAACAAAATGGAGTGATTTAAATTAAAATCAACCTGGGTTTTAACCTGATTTTGTGTATGTGTTTGGGAGAACCCACTAGGAAATCTGGGCCTAAGTTTCCTGACATCCTCAGTGGTGTTGCATCTTCCTTCAGTCTTATCCCTCACACATAATGCCGAGATCATGTATAGAGGAAGAAAAGCCATTTACTGGTAAGATCCATTCAGATGGCATGAAGAAATCAGTGTGATTTTGAAGTAGTTTATTAACGTTTTAGACTCCCTGCGGAGAGAACCTGGTTTTCTATTAAGATTCATTTGTTCACATTATTTTTTGTTGGTTTGTTTTTTGCTAAGAAGTGCACATTTTGTCACTTTGTAATGAAACATGGAGTATTCAGGCAAATTAGGAAAATGCTGTGAAGAAAAATTACAGAATGCCTTTCTTCATTCTCTGTTTCCAATTTCATAAGACAACCCTCACTTCTATAACCTGCAGTGTATGCATGTATTTATTTTTGCATCTTTTTAAAAATGTTTTCTTTGGTTCTATGAGATGCTGTGAAGCGCCTTTTGTCCTCACCTATCAGATTATGTGCTCTGATGTCTTTCAACAAGAAAAGCGATGCTACTGGGTCCAAAGTTGTTCAGTTCTTGTTAGACGCTGGGGGCTGACCAGGAAAAGAGGACCATCCGTCACTTTATCAGAGACCGATGCCAGGGATGACGATGGCTTGTATGATTTGGCTTGATACATTCGTAGTGCACTGAGAAAAAGGAATCACCGTCTTCCGGTTCGCTATCTGTGGCAAACTTTCCGTACGGGGCAGGGGTTCTAAGCTCCAGCATGTTTCCTAACAGGCCACTCAAAGCAGTCCTCAACACCTGATGATTGTAGCAGGTAGAGTACCTTGTGTTCACCTAAGACTTAAGAAAAGTTAGACAATGTGATGTGAATTTCGTTTTCAGTTAGCAGAAACCCCAGAGACAGATGAGAAGTTAGGGGTTTTTTTTCCTTTAGGAAAGAAAATAAGAAGTTCTTTTAGTATATGTGAATTCATTTACGATAGTAAAAGAAGAAAACCGCTCCTTTACTGGAGGCTACAAAAACTTGGCCCCAGCTGTGCTCATGCTTTGAAAAAACAAAACTGTGTCTGAAAGGCAAATTGTGAACTTGCCCCCACTCCCCCCAGCCCCCTGATGGAGCCATTTGCGTGATCTGAGATCGCTCAGGCCATTTAAAATCACATGTGATTCTCTCCATTCCAGCCCGAGGAAGAGCAATCAGTCTGTGACATCACTGGGTCCAGCTCTTCCACCGATGACACGGCATCCCTGGATCGACATTCTTCACACGGCAGTGATGTGTCCCTCCCCCAAACTTCAAATCGGAGCAAGTCCAAGGACCCGCAAAGCCTGGACGCTTTTGAGAGCCATGAATTGAGAGGTGTGAGGCAGGAGACTGAGAGGGAGCCTGCCTGCTCTGGGGACATGGAAGAGGAAGAGATGGATAGCATCACTGAGGTGCCTGCAAACTGCTCCCTTCTGAGGGGCTCCCTGCGTTCTCTGTCCCCTTTCCGGAGGCACAGCTGGGGTCCTGGGAAGAATGCAGCCAGTGATGCAGAGATGAACCACCGCAGGTGAGCTGGGAGGCCCTTTGCTCTTGTCTCTCAAAGTCCGCTTGCTTTTGAAAAGTTGCTGATTTGATAATGCAGTTGGCAAAAGCGTTTAGGAGACACCATGGTATAGAAGAAAGAATGTGGGTGTTGAAATCAGGAAAACCTGTGTTTAAACTCTGAACTCACTACATAGATGACCTGGGGAAGGTACCGGTTTCCTGAAGAGTTTTAATTTTCTCATCTATTAGATATTTGTAATAATAATAAAATGAAATAATATATCACATAGTAGAAGTTTCAAAAATGGTAATATTTATTCTTGTCAGCTTTCTCAGTGAGATCCAAAGAATAGAAAATAATAGAAAAGTTTTAAGTCCGTTTTTAATTAAATAAATACAAAATGTATTCCCAACAGATCTAACTTTTTCAATTTCTATCACAGGAATTAAAGCCACCTGTTTCTAATGGTGACACTGTTGATAAACTGTAAATGGTCAATATTAATCCTCAAGGTGGTGATTGGTTACGTGCCGTGGAGTCGGTTCCGGCTCATAGCAACTCTGTATAAGGTTTCCGAGGCTGTAAATTTTTACAGGAGCATAAAGCTCCATCCTTCCCCTGTGGAACAGCTGGTAGTTTCATACTGCTGACCTTGAGGTTAGCAGCCCAGCTCGTAAGCACTATGCTGCCAGAGCTCCTTATTAATCCTCAAGAGAACACAAAAATAATTAAATAGAAGTTTAAATCAAAAAGTATTGGTTCAAAATCTCAGAAAATTTTATTAAACAAAAAGAATAAAATGTGAAACTATTGTTTCTCAACATATCCTCCATTAAGTTTATGTCATCTTAAGGCAGTGTCTCCGGTTCCCTATCCCTGTCCTACACAGTTCTCGGCTCTTGAATTTATAGTACATCAAGACAGCCATTTTGGTATCCTCAAGAGACTCAAATTGTGTTCCTTATAAATGTTGTTTGTGTTTGGGGAACAAAAGAAGTCTGAAGGGGCAAGATGATGACTGTTAGTGGAGAGAGTTAAAGATCCCTCTCAAATTCTTGTAGAACAGCCCTTAACGACCCTCAAAGAATGAGCCGGTGCGTTTTCATGATGGAAAAAAATTTCTCAATCCAACTGCCCTGGCCTTTTTCTCATCAGTATAGTTTTCAGTTTCCTTAAAATATCTTCACAATAAGTCCCTGTGATTGTCCTGTGTCCTTTGAGAAAATCTATCAGATTATCCCTTTGGGATGTCAAAAAACAATCACCATGCCTTCTGACCTGACCTCTCTGCCTTGAATTTAACTGGCCCCACAGATCCCCTCAAATTCCACTTTTGTTACTGAACCTTTCTCTGTGGATCACATTGGTAAAGGCAAGACTTCCAGTTTTGCTTTGTGTCATAAAAACCATCTTTGTTAGCTTCATCTTTCTAAAAGGCCGATGGAAAGAAAGATCAGTCTTTTGAGCTCGTTGGTCTTCATGCAACACTTTGGCACCCAACGATTCTAAAGCTTGCTGAGGCCAAATGTTCTCTGAAAATTAAAAATGCCAAAGCATGTGAGATCTCAGCTTCAGGAACTACCCTGTAAATGGTCATTATTCTTCTACCAGTTTCTGGACTTTAGCCAGTTCCATCCTTCATCAGGATCCATAGTCTCCCTTCTCCTGGCTCATTGTAGAGGTCTTCCCCACCTTCCTCAACATGCTCAAGCCATTTAAAACTTGGTTTCTGTGGGGCAGCATTTTCCTGTAAACTAAATGCAAAACTTCAGTGATTTGGGAAGATGTCCACCAGAGATTTGTTTAAAATTTTGTATTAGCACTGAATACAGACACAAAAACATTTTTACCTCATGGCACAAAAATGTCCTGTTTTTTGAAGGTACCCTAGCAAAATTAAGACAAGTGTATTCCTGGAAGAACTTCTGTGCGGCCTTCCACTGATCACAAGACATGTTTCAGCACGTTCTGTTTGGAGTACCCCATGCAGCAAAGAGGGAGGACTGACGGTGGTTTAAGTTAGCTGATGTAAACCACTCAGCTGGGTTTGCTGTTGTTTTTTAAAAGTTCTTGGACCTCTTTATTGACATTTCAGAGCTAGTTGTAAATTTATGGCTATAAGTACATGAATCCAATAGCATTCATTCATTCTTTTATTTGATGAACATTGTGTACCTACTTGAGGCCAGCCACTGTAGGTTCTGGAGCGACAGAGTAAACAATACAAAGTCCCACCTCCAAGGAGCTCACAGTAACACCTTTTGTTGTTGTTGTTGTTGTTAAGTGCTGTCAAGTCTGGTCCGACTCATAGCAACTCTGCAAAGGACGTCCAAGGAGCGGCCAGTGAGTTTGAACCACCAACCTTGTGGTTCAAACTGACCTTGTGATCCAGTGCTTATCCTACAGTGCCACTCCAGTAATACCTTACACTTTCATAATTTGCTAAACTTTTCAGACTCCTTTAATAACACATTATCTTACAGAATATTGTATTCTCTCATGAGTCAAATGACATTATCCGCATCCTGACAGAGACACTGGGGTAACTTACCCAAGGCCAGGCCAGTCCAGATTTCTAGACTCCCAGGCTGTGATGTTTCTGTGATGCTGTGGTATTCTGGGGTGGTGCTAACCTTCAAAGTAAGTGGTGTGCCGTGTCTTCGGGATAGATCTTTTATACAGCTGATATCCTAGGTTATAAAAAGCAATTTCTTCCTTGTCAACTTTATTTATGTTAGGATACCTTTTTAGTATTCATTCCTGTAAGAAGATGGGACGTGATCCCTCCAGTCAAAATTCTCTTCCTGAAGCAAGGGTTAGTTCTTTAGGATAGGACATGCTGTCCTTTAATAATAATGCTGTTAAGGGAGTGCCTTTATTTTATGTGTGATCCATTATTCTTCTCTGTACCTCTGATTTCAGAGTTAGACTTCACTCTATGGTTCCTCTTGCTTAGATAGGAAATTGAAGGTCATATTGAATTATTTGCCCAAGATTACATGATGACCTTAAACACTGAACTGAGACTTAGAACCATAAACAAATATTCCTGTTTTCAACATACTTGATGTCACGGACTGTCATTTGGACGTAAAATCAAGGATTAGCTCACACAACTATCCTAAAAACAGTGTCGAGTTAATCTTTAAATTATTTAGAATTAGAGTAAGAGTTAGGTGGTAAGAATCACTTTCATTTGTCTACTTCTTGTCATTTTATCCATCGTGTTATATGAGGTCTGGTGACAGCGTTGCTGTAGGATTGGTGGCGGACTGCTAACCAACAAGCCCCTCGGAAACCCCATACAAGGTTGCTATGAGTGGGAACTGACTTAACAGCACTTAACAACCACAACCACCATGATTATAGTATGACCTGAATTTTGAAGACGTAAAACTTCTTAATGACAGTTTTTCCCCTGCTCTTATGAACTCTTAAGGGTTTTTACTTTTAGAATTTAAAAAGCATGTTAATGGTTACCCCATGGAGTAAAGGGGGAGTGGAGTAGCTCTCCATAGCAATGGCCGGGCCCCCTTGGCTCTGATAATTCATTACATGACTTCCTGTGCTGGCTCTTTGCCCAGTGTGGTGCCTGGATTGGCACAGTTGCTTCCCATTTTGTTCCATCTGTGATACTGACCTCTCTTCCATCATTCATTTTCAGTTCAATGCGAGTTGTTGGGGATGTTGTCAGGAGACCTCCCATTCATAGGAGAAGGTACAGAGCTCACTCACTTGACTGACTAACCACATCGCCTCTGAGCATATACTAACAAGTATCTCATTCTGCCTAATCCGTGATTAGATGCTGTATTTTAAAGTAATGTTAGCATGTACTTCAGGCAAATGCATTTTAAAAACTGATTTATTGCTGCTGTTCCTGCTATATGAAATTGTTTCTGAGTTCTAAAGTTCCTTTTTTCTCTATTTTTTTTTTTCCCCAGAGTCAATAACATTTTTCGATCTTGTGTTTATTGGTGTTCAGGTGACTTTTATAGCAAGTTTCTCACCCAAGATTCCCTAGAAGAATTCAAAAGGATTTGTCTGTGATGTGCCTACCCCATGACCCTGGGGAATACGTCATTCCTTCTCTAGGAAAAAAATAAAAGACCCAGAAATGTGTGTGCACATGCGTGTACATGTGTTCAGGCACACACATAACCTCAGATGTCTCCAGTGGAGTCTTCAGTAATGTTTTGGAAGACTTAATTCCTCAGTCACCTGGCAGTTTCCAGTCCATTGCTGATGGCTCCTCAGGCCACTCTGAGTCTTTGAAGTGCTCAGTTCCTTCTGGTGAGGTCATACTGGTCAGCTACAAATAACATGACAGCTGAGACGTCATTTCTAGTCAGAAAGCGCTGATTTGCCTTAACATCTCCAGATACTGACTATTGAAACAGAGTTAGTCATGATATTTTCTTCCCTTGTTAGCCATAAAATTAAGAAATAAAAGGGATTGGCTGGATTACAGTTACTTCCGCGTATTAGGAGGAGACGTTTGTAAAGAGGAGTGAATTAGCTGTTAGCTGAAGCTGTTGGTTGAAGAGCAGCTACACAGTGATCTTTCCCACTTTCTCTTTTTCAAGTGGGTGTATTTTTTGTATTTTTCATGGGAGCTTTTAGATAAGAAGCTTGAGCTCAAATTCATAGATTCTCAGGAATCTCAGATCATCGATTCTAGTGAAGTTGATAAATGCCTTTTTCAGTAGATGGTCTGCAAAACCTCAGGAGAGGTATTTGCCTGTCTCCCCACTAAAACCCCTCCAGTGTGAATTTACTCAATCCATGTACTTGATGACAGACTGCTGAATGGAGCCCAAGTGAATACATTAAGAGGAAATGCATTTCTGCACATGCCTTTTGAAGTTAGGGTACGACTGTCAGAAGCAAGCCCCATTTATAGTTTCGTCGTATAGTCCCAGTTCTCTAAGAACACGATGTCTCTTTTAAAAATACTTATTAAGCATTAGCGAAGAAATTTGAAACATTCCAACAAGTATTTAAAAGTGTGGAAGTGGGCTATGTGTTTTTTTCATCTAGAATCTTCTAAATCTCAAGGTGGTAAGGCCAAGGGTCAATTAATAGTACCACCACTAATTGAGGAATTAGTGAGAAATTTAGACTGTTTTTAAAAATACTCTTAATTGTGTAAGTTTCCTACTGTAAGGAAGGGCAGACACTAAATGGATCACGTGCAGCTCCCTTCTAGAAAACTTGGATGCTTCTCTTTCTGTCTTGCTCTTTCTTTATTCTCCTCATCTTAAATTGGACCTCTGTCTTCTGCGTCACTTCCGTATTCTGATGCTTAAGTTACGTAGAAGGAAATGATCTGGCGATGTATATTCAGTTACTGATTTTCCATGTTCTGTTTTTATAAGAAACTGTGATATAGGTATAATATGCATGTTTAGTGACAGTTTAGAGCTCGAAACATCAAGTTATGATGTCAGGGAATTAACTTTTGAGTCCCTTGTCTGCTTACAAAGCCATTAGCACTCAAGCTGAACCTGCTTATGAGCCTCGCGGTGTGACGTCAGCTGTATATTTCTGCTTTCTGTGTTTGCAGCTGTAAGTCTTCTGTTACTCATTTCATCGGACTTACGGTATTTTATCCTGTCTGAATGATTTTATCAATTTTCTTCTTAGAAGAGCCACGAAGGAAGCAATTATACCCACACACCAGTTTCCTTGGCTCTTTTCATCCACCCAACAGCCCTGCTTTTGAGCAAAATTATTTATTAAATGTATTCAGGATGGACATTTCTGCCTGCAAAGATTCAGGAGGGAGCTGAGTGGTTTTAACCCTTGTTGAGAAACTCTGTTTTGATCCCCCTCTGAAAACAAAAGCATGTAAATTAGTACTTCAAGATCCACATAGTAGCAATTTTTTTTTAAGTGAAACCTTTTATTAATAAGAAATCTTGTATTTTTCATCAGACTACCTTTAGTGCCCCTGCTACTTGAGAATAGATATTAATGCTGAGGGAGTTAAGGAATTAGATGGACTTTTTTTTTTTTAATGTGGGCAAAATTGATTGTGACTGTTAGGAACTATCAGCTTGATTGAGATGCCTGGTGACCCCAAGTTGCTGCAAAGGGGTTTTCAAAGCCGTGAACTTTGGGGAGCAGATTACTAGACTTGTCTTCCAAGGTGCCTCAGGGTGGGATTGTGCCTCTAGCCTTTTGTCTAGTGTTTAACCGTTGGTGCCACCCAGGAACTCCTGGGAAAATGGATACAAGCCTAAAATTTAACAAGGTACACTTCTAATTCAGTACCATAAAGTTCCTTTTTTAATTAAAAAGGAGGAAATATTCCTTCTCAAGGAAACAAAACCATCGTTGTATGCTTCTACGAACCTAGTGAGTGGGATTTGAAGATGGATGTGAATGTTGAGTCCATCGCAATGGACCCATAAAGGTGGGAGCATCAGGAAGAAACCTGATGCCTCCACGGGCCCATCGCGGTGCCATCTGTCATTGTTTCTTTTAGACAAGAGATTAGTGATACTGAGGTACAGGTGGCCTGGGAGGGAGGGGTAGGGTCGAGAGAGAGGTTGTCCCCAGCAGTGGAGTGTCCCATTAGCTCTTTGGAAATGCCTTAAGAGGAAGCCCTCAGAGGTGGGCTCTTTGCGTACAGTCCTTAGAAAGACTTGGGTTTTAAGTTGAACTTGTTACCTGTAAGTGCTCAGCAATTCACTGTAGGCATGAATAGAATAATTCGAGGTTTCCATGGTTCTTGTTCTAGCCTGCTTCTAAATTCTGAGTCAGTGTTACAATTTTTGGATAAATTAAATGCATGTATCTCTAACTACACCCTTTCTTTTTAACCCCAATAACCCTATATCCCTGTTTCCTCTTTTCCCCTGCTATTTCTGTCTCTGCCTCTGATGTCATCCCCAGTATGAGCTGGTGCCCCTCGGGCATGCAATACTCTGTCTCCCTGAGTGCTGACTTTACTTACAGAAGGTATGGTATCATGACATGTCCAGTCACCAAAGGGGGAACTGTGAAACCTGCCATCTGGGCTTTTGGCTTGCAGAGGGCTTCTTTATGGCTGGAATTTCTGGGAGCACTTTGTGTCCGCTGTTAGCATCACTAAGCCACCCTTCGGGGTACTGCCTAGAAGCCTGACTGTGTACCCTGATGCATCCCTGTGTGTCTTGAGTAGCTGCATTTTCTGTTTTCTGCACAGATTCATCTCCAGGCTGTGGGTGTGGTAGAGCACGTCTCTGTTTGTTTTGGTCTTTCCTAACTCCCAGGTCCTAAGAAACGGAAAAAAAAAACAGTCCGAGAAGCCAGACACCCAGTAAGGGGGACTCCTTTCTGTTTGCTTCAAAATATGCCACTCTCTTGAGATTCTAAATTCAGAGACTGCTCGTTTCATATTGTTCTCTCAAGTAAGCAACCAGATTCAATTATTAAAACATTTTTAGAATTAGGTTTTTGTAGTCAGCACAGATCTGATTTTCTCCAGCTTGCTGAATAATTCACAATAAATAAATGTCTTCGTCTCTTATTCCCTCTTTTTATTCATGGCTTAAAAATTGAGTTTTACAGAGACATTTATTTGCAGTTAGTCATGATTTCTGTTGTCATGTTGAAACAAGAAAAAAATGTATTGTTTAATTTACGAATTAAAGAAAAGAGGCATAGGGCCTCAGCTCATAATAAGCAGTTTTATGAAATAAAGACATTCTTCTGGACTGGCATAGTTGAACTTATTTGTAGCATTTCGTTCTGCGTATTTTTCTGAGTGGCGAGGAACTCGGGCAGCTTCAGTACACTTTCAAATCCAGTTCCAGCTGGTTGTCACTGAGGAGACTATCAGTTGCAGCTATGTTTTCAGATCAGACTTATTTTAGAGAGGTTTCCATTGCCGCTGTTACAGATGTAAATTATTCTAGCTAGGGAGGACACCTAGATCCCCTAAAACCTTTCTCTGTAGGAGAGAACAAACCTAGCAGGTTATGGCTTCCTGGTTAGAGAAAAGGCTTTTGGCTCTGCAAACTACAAAATCTTTGTACCAGTCATCCCACTTAAAATACCAGTCCCTAAATTTGCTTTCTTTTTTTCTTTGCCAATAGTAAGAAAAAAGGTAAACCCCTTAGACCTAGTAGCTTCTCAGCTTCCACCCCCCACCCCCTACCCCAAGGTGTCATATGTGCTTGTCTGCAACTAACAATTCTCAGAAAAACCTGCCAGGCATTTGTTTCCAGCCAGGTGTGCACAGAAGCTGAAGTGCATGAGTAAAACTTGAGCTGTGAAGGGTACAAAGTTATAAAAGTCAAGACGGGTGTCAGTGATCACAAGTTAATGCAGGGCATTGTAATGGGCACAAAAGCAAATCTCCTGGTCTGCCTTCCGAGAGTTAACATATGCTCATATTTTCTCTGTGCCAGTTAATTCTTTGGCACAACAGAACTGC